ATAATAATGTTTTCATTTGTTATATTAGGATACAAAATTGTGTTTTTTATTATTATTGTTTTTCTATGATATTTCTTTAGTATTATTTAGTATTATTTAGTATTATTTATTTAGTATTAATTTCTATAATTATATTGATTGCCACTGAATGAAGGCTAAGGTGCTAACCGAAATGTATGGATTTTAAATAAATTTGTGAAAACTCTCATACTATTTTTTATTGATGTAACGGCCAACTTTTAAACTCATATATATATATATATATATATATATATATATATATATTAGGCTTGCAAAGAATAGTACTTTTGGCAAAATGCCGAATACCGAATATTCGGCATGCCCCAGAAACCGAATACCGAATGTTCGGCAACTATTCGGCAGGTTATTGGCGCCTAAGCTCGTTTGTATTGATGTAATTACTATCAGTAATTGTTATATTGCTAACGCACTACATGTTTATTCAAATTATATGCCTAGACTTGCAACCACTATTCGGCTACTCCTTTACACTATTCGGCCGAATACCGAATACTTGAATACCACATGTGAAAAAAAAGGTAAAATCATCAAACAGCGATTTTTCACTTATATATAAATGTATTTCCAATTATTTCTTTAATAAATATTTATTTTCTTTAATAAACTCAATATTATTTCTTATATATTAGGGATTGTAATCATAATGAAATAAATAAAAAATGATGAAAAATGTTGTTTGTATATTTTGCGATAAAGAGCTAATAATATTATCTTTATTTGGAAATGCTTAGATTGAATATAATGAATCACTTTATTGTATAGATACAGTACATGCGTGTAACCATTGAATGAGTCATATTAATTATTATAAATATGCAACAATAAAAATTGAGTGTTCATTAATAATGCCAAAAGTCGATAAAGTTTAAATTGTTATATATTCAATAACGAAATCATTTCTTCATATCATGTTATGTAAGGTAAACACTTCCAAAGACAGATCCATCGCGAGCTCAGTGTCTTTATCGCATAAAAAATGAAACACCAACAATGATGTCGCTGATCGGCGGCGGCTTCTTTGATTTTAACTATTCGGTATTCGGCCGAATATTAAAAATGCGCCGAATATGCCGACTACCGAATAGTAACTGAATATTTGGAGCAAGCCTAATATATATATATATATATATATATATATATATATATATATATATATATATATATAAATATTTCTGCGTCTGTATATTATATCGAGCGTTCTAGTTTTGATTTAAAGCAGTTTCATTATAAAGTACTTTACACAGTGCATCCTATTTCACGTATCACTAATTAAGCACGTTCGTGCATAATGAACTGCATATCGTATAAGCTTTAATATATCACTCAATTATGCCGAATATTTCACACCAAATTTATTCCTAAAGTTCAATATAATTTATAGTTTGAAAGTTGTGTTCAAATATTCGACATGAACAAGATTATTAAAATATTAAATCCATGCAAACCAAGCATTATTTAACACTTTGGGGACGGCTGTCCACCTCAGTGGACAAACATACTCTGTGAGCCACAGGCTATTTTATAAACAATGACTCAGTTTGCATCGAAAAGTTGAAAAAATTACATATAGCAGTGATAAACAGTATTGTATTTTGAAAATGATTTTAAGTTATTTTAGTAGTAATTTTAGCCTTTTTCTTTGCTATATGGTCTTTTTTTTAATATTTAAAACGACCGAGCGCTTTTAAATATGGCAAAACAACTGGTAAATTTTGTGAATTAAGCAGTAGTGAAGATGAGTTTCAAATAGACATTCATACAGACAAATTTTACGAAATTACTATTCGCACCGATGATAGTGATGAATGTGATGATGATATTATCCAACCAACAAAAAGAAGAAGTTCGACAAAATAAATGAAGAGCGGGAAGACATTAGCGATTATTATTCAATAATCGAGTTTGACATACATCAACAAACGCCCCGACTACAAATACCAAGCAATATAAGACATCCAATAGATTATTTTACTTTATACTTTATAAATGAATTATTAGACAATATAATAGAAAAAATAAACCATTATGGCAGCGAAAAAATGACCAAATATACTGACTAATCAGTGGCATATTCTAAATTCTAAAAGAAAAAGGGATTGTATTGTCTGTTCTGACAGAAAAGCACCAGAAGGAAGGCGACGAACAACATTTTATTGTGAAACATGTCGAAATCAACCAGCTATGCATTTTGGAAATTGTTTTGAATGTCACCATTCTTTATAAAATGATCAAAAATAAATTAATATTATAAATGTATGTCCTTCAATATTTATTTTATTATTTATTTATTCATAGCAATCAAGATACATTTTATCTTATAAGCTATTGTGACACAAAGGAGAAAGAAAAGAAAAAATAATAATAATAATAATAATAATAATAATAATAATAATAATAATAATAATAATAATGAATAAATAAAAAGGTAAAATAAAAAATAATAATAAGTATATTAAAGAAAGAGAGAGAAAAGAAAAAAAAATGGAATAATTAACTAGAGTTCATTCCAATGAGTGAAGTCTAGTGTTTCATTTAAGGTCGCTTGGCCAGCATCTTTTCAATCTTCTTGGTGATGAAGAGCCGATTAAGGAAGTAATGAGCTGGTTGTAGTGGCACTCAATTTTTGAGAGGTAGATCGAGCTTCTGTCCTTGATGACATCTGTGACGTATGGAATATTTAAATCTTTATGAATAGCATGGTTAGTAATGTACCACGGTGCGTTGACTATATTTCTTAGTATATTGTTTTGACATCTTTGCATCATTACAATGTTGGATTTGCTTGCGCATCCCCATAACTCGATACCGTAAGTCCAAACGGGTTTTATGATGCATTTGTATAGCATTACTTTATTATACAGCGAGAGCTTAGAGCTTCTTCCTATAAGCCAATTAATTTCTTGGGCTTTGAACTTGATTTGTTGAATTTTGGCTTTGATATGTTGCTTCCAGGTTAGTCTGGAATCCAAGTGCATGCCCAGGTATTTGACTACATCGGTTTGTGGTATAGTACATTGGTTAAGGGAAACTTGAGGGCAGGTATCTTTTCTCAGTGAAAAGGTAATATGCTTCGATTTGGTCTCGTTGATTTTTATTTTCCATTTTTTGGACCAGGTCTCGATTTTGTTAAGATGACATTGCAGTTTCTGTGAGGCTACTTTGGGATCGAGATCAGTGGTTAAAATTGCGATATCATCGGCAAAAGTACAACAAGTAGAATCACCATATTTTGGAAAATCACTTGTGTATAATAGATAAAGAAATGGACCTAAGACACTGCCTTGAGGAACACCTGCGTTTACCAGTTTAGGCTCAGTTGATTCTTGACCGATTTTTACTTGAAACTTTCTTGAGCATAAGTAAGATTCGAAGAATTTTGTGTATGATGGTAGAAGATTTCTGATTTTATGTAGAAGACCAAAGTGCTAGACTTTGTCAAAAGCCTGGCTTACATCAAGGAACACGGCTGAACAGAACTTCTTGGCTTCGAAAGCTTTGTTGACAGCATCAACTATACGATGACACTGCTGTATAGTGGAGTGTTGTTTACGGAAGCCAAATTGATGATCCGGAACTATATTTGACTCTTTCGCAATGTTTTCTAGTAGTAACTTTTCAAATACTTTTGAAATTATTGGCAGTAGACTTATTGGCCTGTATGAACTAACAATGTAAGAGTCTTTACCAACTTTTGGTACCATTATAATGGAAGCCAGTTTGAAAGAAGTTGGCCAGTAATTTAGCCTCAGTATTGCATTGAATAGATGAGTAATGAAAACATATCCAACTCTCGGAAGTTGTTTCAGCATTGTAGTTGAAATTAAGTCGATTCCGACGGATTTGTTGTTTTTCAATCGATGGATCTCCTTGTGGATTCGTTTCACTGTGAAGAAGCGAAAGTTGCTAGGCTGGCTTACTTCTGGGCTCTCAGGTGACAAATTGTCGTGATTAGAATCCATGACATTTGGTGTAAAAACTGTGGATAAGTGATTGGCAAAAAGGTTACCTTTCTCAGCATCACTTCTACCCCAGTTATCATGAGTCTCAGACCGAATGGGAGGGTTTTTTCTTGGGGGACGGTTTTTGTTGCGTATAGGTTTCCACAAGGAGTTGTCAAATCTGTTTAGGCTCAATACATAGTTATAGAAATTGTTGTTGAACATTTCTTTAATTTTGATTCTGAGAGAATTACTGATTTGGTTCAAAGCTGATTTATCTTGTGGTGCGTGAGTTCTCTGCCATATTTTCCTAATCTTGCGTTTTCTGGCTATTAGCTTCTTTATTTCTAGCGTTATGGTTGGACTTTTACTGACACTAGGATTCTAACTGTGTTTAGCAGGAGTTGTTTAAACTTTTCCAACGCGCTGTCAACATCATTTGTACATTTAAGGGGAATTTTCAAATTAATTTGGTATTTGATTGTGTCTCTATATTTGTCCCAATTAGTCCTAAAATTATGGAGCTTAGGATTTGAGGAGATGGGCATAACCGAGGAGCTTAGGGAAGCAATGATAGTTGAATGGTCAGATGTCAAATCATAATTGGGTTGAACTTCTATGCATTTGTAGTCAATTCCACTAGAAATAAAGAAGTCAAGTAGGTCCGGAATCTTAGCCGGGTCTGAGGGCCAATATGTTGGTGTACCTGTGGAGTGCGAGGCGTAGTTATTTTGTTGAATAACATAATAGGGAACGGGCAAGCTCTCCTCTAGCGGATTTTAAGTGCAACTTGGATTCCAACAAATATGGCGGATGACACATTTATGAGTTGAATTTGCTGTCAACTAATATTTGTTTTGACGTAAAACGTGCATTTTTAGGTTAAACATTTAATAATTCATATTTCTTACATATTTTCATCATTTATTTTTTATGATTTTACAATAACAGAGGTAAGAATAATGAAATTCAAAATATAAATTTTGTTTGCTACTACCAATATGCATACTATTTACATTCAGGAAGGATATTCAATCAGAAAAATATTGAAAGTTCAAAGTTTGAAGAGGCTTTAGTAAATTAAATCAATATTTGCTTAAATGATCATATATACATGCATAAAAACATTATTAAAAATCCATTTGTGAGTTTGATTCTTAGAAAACACTAATTATGAAAGTTAGAAATTAGTTATATTGCTTTAGGTTTTACTTTTCAGATTCATTCGTTGGTAGTTTCCAGGGTATTTGAAAGTAGGTTCTTATTTATTTGCACTCCAGATGGCTTTATTTCATTTGTTAATAATGTGGGCTTAGGCAGAATCACTCCAACCCAAATTAATGTACTCTCGGGCGTAATAAAAAAAAGTAAAATCTGGATGTGCTGTATTAACTGACAAAGGTAAATTCATGAGTAAAAAAGACAAAGTTTTTAATTGTACTTTATAGTCAGGATTTTCATCAATATGGACTGAGTTAGACAAATTAATAAATATAGCAGTACTTGTGCATATGCTATTTGTTTAAAATTAAATTTAAAACGGATTATTTTCACCAGAAGATATTAATTAAACTCACTTTGAAGCTAGTGTGCGTATACATGTAGAATGAGTCATACACAGAATGAAAATTTTAAAACTTCTATGTAATATACCAAAGGACTATCAATTTTCTGGTGAAAATATTGTTTTTTTATGTCCTATTTTGGTGAATCTTCAAACTTTCATTATTGGATAAGATGGGGATGGTAAATGAAAGAAATGTTAATTTATATTAGATTAAATATATATGTATCATGACTGTTAGCTTGTATAATAATATTAACTGTACATAAATGTTATATGTAATACATAAATTGAAAGCTTTTGGAAATCAAAGATGAATACTTCTTATATGTACCTAAATTAATCTGAAAGAAAAAACATTGAGAGCATATAATTTAAAGTATAAAATTTTAACAGGTATGTAATATTAAATTCACACAAATAATTACCAATCTATGGAGGAGACCCTCTTCTATCAATATTAGCAAATACTGCTCATCGGTATAAAATTTTGGAGAAATTCTTCAACCGTGCATATACTGATACAATAGCTTCCTAAAACTTTTAAAAGTAATATCTTTTTATGCAATAAAACAAAACATACCTGCAGTAATGCAATAATACAAAACAATTAAATCAAATCAAATTGCAGTGTAGAAATCCTGTAAGTCCTGACATCCTATCAAATATGAGATTCATTCTGCAACAAAGTACTAATAGAAAGATCTAAACTTTGTTCAGCTGATAACACAACATGCAAATCATAAAATATCTTATGGCCTTGTCTGAAACTTTTATCATACCTTTAAGCAACACATGTTTGTTTTAATATGGTGGTCAATAGCAAATACATTTTAATTATGAGTACATACCTCAATGAATCTATCCAACGAAGCAATTTATTTCTTCTAACGTTAATTATAACAAAATTCACTTTCTTATTCATGCGCTTTCTTCACTTAATATACGCACATGATTGGTGACTCAGATATACCGCATTATTATTAGAAATAAATAAAAATTGCGATTATAAGAAGCAATAACCATCTTTAACAAGCACATAAGTTTGAATAAAACCTGTCAAAATACGAAATAAAACCTGTCAAACGCCATCTTGTTTGGAATCCTTGTTTGCACTTTTTCGCCACCCAGAGAAGTCATGGAGTTTTCACTGACATTTTTATGAGCTTGCCCGTTCCCTATTCAGCTCTTTTCCTTTCGGATTAACAAGTCGTGATCCCCAGTTTGGATGCTTGCTGTTGAAGTCACCGCCTGCTAGGAATCTTGTACCTAACGTATCGAAAAATTCTTGAAAGTGTTCTCTCTTTAAGTTGTGTCTTGGGGGACAGTAGACGGCTGTGAATGTGAGGTCGTAGGGAAAAGCTTTTACTTTGACCGATGTAGATTGAATATAATTTGTGTTGAAGTGGTTCATCTCATAATGCGAAATGCTTGATTTGACGATAATGGCCGTTCCTCCATGAGCCGTTCCATCCGGATGTGGCGAGTGATAAACGCTGTAAAATGGTACTGAAAAGTGACTGAATTTGGTTAGATGAGTCTCGCTTACTAGCAGAATGTCAATTTTGTTAAGAGACAGAAAAATAGTTAGCTCATTTTTACGTGAAGTAAGCCCATTGGCGTTCCAAAGCGCGATCCTTAGAAACTTAGCCATTATTTACGGATGTTAACAAGAGAAGATAGCATGTTCAGAATCATGCTATTTTGGTTCATAAGTTGCTGAAACATGTTTTTAAATTCTGCTAAAAATTGAGTCAAAATATTTTCGATTTGGCCACCACTGTTAATGGCCTGTTGTTGTTTTAGTATCTGTGAAAAACTCGCATGTTGTGCAAAAACCGGTTTGTTTGTTTTGATTGTGTCGGCGTAGCTTCGTTTTAAAGATACTCTTCTAGGGTCACTTACCGAGCCAGGTAGCAACGTTTGATTATTGATATGGCTGGTTGGTGTAGTTAGATTGTTGTTGTTATTATTAACTGACGTCGATTCATATTTGAGTGAATACAATTCTGGATATCGTTTACAGCCTTTATATTTAGACGTGTGGCCTACAGTATTACACACGGCGCAGGTCGGAACTGTATTTTCATCTAGAGGACAATCTTTGAGTTCGTGATTCTCGGCGCAACGCGAACATGTGAACATCCGGTTGCAGTACCGTTTTGTATGATTCAATTGTTGGCAACGTCCACATTGGACGATGCGTTTATGGACATTTGGCGGTTCAGTTTTAATTATGCTATTTTGGAATTTGTCCACTTTGTAAATGTCTTTGTTGTTAGGTGCTGGTTCAAAGTCTATGAAGAACATATTACGCGGCTGTTTTGTGTGTGGGTTACGCAGATTCAAAACATTTCTTACCTTGTGACCGTATTCACTAAATACGGTAGTGATTTCTTCTGTTGTGGTTGCATGGTATAGGTATCGAACTACTACTCTAAATGCGCGATCTTCTTTTAATTGATAGGTATGGTGTTCTACATTTGCATCTTTCAGTAATGTGACCATTTGTCGAAAAGTAGCAGAATCAGAGCAATGTATTTTTACAGTTTCGTCCGGCAGAATTTTTGTGTAAAATTTGTTTGAAGGAAAAGCTTCTTTGATTGCATTATTCATTAATTTGAAATTATTCACGTTATGAACAAAAATGGGTGGGGGTCAAGTTGATAATGTTTGTGTTTTATCTTGATTTTGTTGATTTAACAACGGATTAAATCTGTTTTGAAGTTTTAAAACAGGTTGGTTTATTTCCTTAGTTTTACGTCTTTTAGTGTGTGATGGAGTTTGCCATGGAATTTGGTCCTGGTCCATTTCGTGATCGTTTTCTGTAGTTGTCATCGGAGTATTATTAATAGCGTTAGGAATGTTTTGTTGTAACGTTGATTGGTTTGGTTGATTGTGCGTGGGTTGATTGCTAGAAGTACTTGCCATGTTCACATTTTCTGGATCATATTCAGTACCATTTAATGTGCGATACGCTTCCGCAATAGGGATTGATAAATTTGTGTGTTCCCCATTAATGGGGAACAAAATTTAATGAATTGTACTTATGTTAAAACTAGTTACACTTATTTTATTTCACTGGGCACTAAACTATTCACAAATGTTATTTCACTTGAATAAATCCGAGACCAATTTATTGTTTACCGAGAGTTGTTATCGGTTCAACTGCTGAATCGAGAATGTGATGTCCTTCAATGACCACAAATTTTTATCAAACAAATTGCATAACATACACAATGAAATCAAGTTTACAGCCGGTAAAGTAGACTGCTTTGAAATAGGTGCCGTCCCGAAAGTGTTAATACCATGTTTGTTATGTAAACGATGTGACATAGTAAGCAGAAGATATAAATGGCCTTCATAATCTTCAGGTGTTGATAAACAAATGCAGAGTGAATGTGTTTGGAAATTTTTGAAACTTGCGAAGAAATTTATAGTACTTTGTGCCTTAAGGCAAATTGCTGGTACTTCCCGTACCGTAATTTGAAATTTAAAAAAAAAACCTTTAAAATTTTTGGAAAACATTTTGGATTTTTGAGAATTTCGAAATTTTGGAAAAACATAGGCTTTTTTGAAAAATTTGAATTTTTTATATTTCGATTTTTTTTATACTTTGAAATTTTCTGAAATAATGTTGAACTTTGGAACCCATAGAAATGTAAACAAAATTTGTACTTATTATTAACTCTTTGGGGACGGCTGTCCACCTCATTGGACAAACATAATCTGTGAGACACAGGCTATTTTATAAACAATGACTCAGTTTGCATCGAAACGTTAAATAAATTACATATAGCAGTGATAAACAGTGCTGTATTTTGAAAATAATTTTAAGTTATCTTAGCAGTATTTTTAGCCTTTTTCTTTGCTATATAGTCTTCTTTTAATATTTAAAACGACCGAGCTGTTTTAAATATGGCAAAACGACTGGTAAATATTGTGAATTAAGCAGTAGTGAAGATAAGTTTCAAATAGACATTCATAGATAGAATGATGAATGTGATGATGATATTATCCAACCAACAAAAAGAAGAGGAAGTTGGACAAATTAAATGAAGAGTGGAAAGACATTAGCGAATGTGCCGATTCTCCTTCAATAATCGACATACATCAACAACCACTCCGACTACAAATACCGGGAGCAAATGCAAGAATTTTTCAATACTGCGTTTTGTAAAATTGATAAAAGAGGTAATAACGATGTTCTTATAATAGTAAAATAATGAAATAAGTAAATAATGAAACTGTTTGCTTAAAATATTTGTATTAATTTTTTTAAACCAACAATGATTTCAGAGATTACAGCTGAAATGATTTTTCAAAATATTCAAGTGTTAGAGGATGGCTTTGTCACACACAGGACAGTTACACCAGGAATGAAGAGAAGACCAGAAGACAGCTGTCTTGATTAGTTTTTAAATTTAGTTAAGTTTATTGTAATATTTATTTAGTAAGGCTTTTAATGTATTATTTTGTTAGGTTAGGTCAGGTTAGGTTTATTGTATCCTTGTATATTGTAATTGTAAGTTCGATTTTCAATAATATTTAATATATATTATAACATATTACAGTGAAATGCTTAGATATTTTTTTCTTTCGTGAAAATAAATATTATTTTAACCTAGAATTGCATTTTTAATTCATTGAATATTCATTTCAGATTATTTAATTCATTTAAAAAAATATTTACGATCCATTTTCAACCCACATGCCAAATTTTGACCTCTGATCGACCGACAATTAGGCTACTTTAGTAATATTGTTAGTTGTTCTCAGGCGACGTATTTTTAACATCACTATCCACTATCCAAACATTTTATTCCAATATCTGTATTGCATTC